AAACTGTTAAACTTTTAATATGATGAAGCATAGCAGTCCCAATAAATTTTAATTGAAAATGCAAATTATGAGCAAAATAATTAATACTAAATTATGTCCTTCTTAATTAGAAAGTAGTTTAAAGGACACGCTCTTGTAAACTATTGCCTAAATTTCCCAGTTTTAATTGGCTAATATGTTTAAAACATGCCCATGGAAAGAATGCAGAGACTTCGCAGGAGATTGAAATAAATGAGTGGATAAATTAAAACAAGAACAGGACAGGCAGAAACTAGTAAGCAGAAATGAACCCCCGCGCTCAGCTTTCTGGCCCTGAGATCCTGAGTTTTTCCACCTTGTTCTGCAGAGTCTCAGGGCCAAGCTGCATTTCTCCAAGGTCTCTGAGGGAATGCTTACTCGGCTGCTCTCTGTGGAACCTGGCTTTCCGGAAGTCCAGAGAGACTGACTGAAGTTAGTTCAAGGGCAGAACTTCAAGCACACAGTCAGAGCCCTACCCCATTTGAATAGGGACCAGAGCACACCTAGGGCTGAAGCAAGGCTGAAGCTCTCTCTCCACCTCTGAGGAATGTCGGGTACTCTGCGCCTCCACCCTAACTCTCCCCGTTAGAGAACATGCGGGATGCGCTGGCTAGTGGTTCTCCACTAATTCTTCGCATCCCCTACTCAGGGAATGCTCCTGCCACAATCTTTTCATCCAAACTCACCAAACCCAGTCTTCACTGCTATTCTTCTGAGCGACAAAGTTCTGAGCTTATTAACGGGGAGGAGTGTTTCAAATCTCCCAAGATTTTACTATAGATCAAAGTGTTCAAGTTATTTGATCTGAACACACAAAATAGGCAGGCATATGGCATTTTTATTATTTCAACTCTTTCCGCTGAAAACCAAATATAACAAATAGAAGCTCCTAGAAGGAACCGGGAACAGCAACAAAATCTCCTAACAAGATTTAACTGTGGGAAATTAATTTACCCGTAATCTATTAAAAACAAACCCAAGTTTTCTTTTGAATTTCCCTGTTCTTTATAATCTCCCTACTTTCTCATTGCTGTTACCTGGACCATAATCTAGGCTTTTTATCTCTTCCAGATAATGTGACATATTAACATGATAGAATTTGTGATTTTGCTCTTACTTAAGCTAAGTATTTTAATATGCTTTAATTTTTAACTGTTCTTAACATATTACATATTTTCATTGTTAGCTAATCCTAAATTAAGCAACTAACATTGTCGCTCAATAATTTACAGGAAACAAAAACCTGAGTTGGCAGTTATAGACATGCACGCATTTCCATGGATCTCTGCTAGCTCCCATTAGACTTTAAGGTCACATGACTGCATTGCTCAGGTCAACACTCCCATCTTTAAAAATTGTTAGCATATAGAAATTATGTCAGTAATGGCAAGATCCAGAACATTCACATTCATTATTTCTTAAAAGGTATATAATGTTGAGCATATTAGAAAGCATTTGAACATTTTTTATTATTGACAAAAATGAAGACACAGCTATTTCATGAGACTTTGTTTGTTTTTTTTGTATCCCTGGCTGTCCTAGAATTCACTCTGCAGACCAGGCTAGTCTTAAACTCAGAAATACACCAGCCTCTGCCTCCCAAGTTCTGGGATTAAAGGTGTACGCCACCATGGCCCAGCTTGATAATTTTTTTTTCAAACTAAAGTATTTATTTTTATTATAGTACAGATTTCTGCTGGAGCAGAAACATCTACCTACATGGTCTGCACGTGTTTTGTGAGTGCTTATCCTCTAAAACTATGTTCTTTTTACCTCTGTGGGCAGTTTTAATATACAAAATCAACGTTACCTTTAAAATTCCTCTACATTTAATTTCGTATAATAGTTATCTGGAGATAAAAATTAGAAAGCTAACCTATGTAAAAGTTTTAGGATACTGAATTGTTAATAACATACTGTTTACTTAGGTTAGCAAACCTGTTTATTTTTAAATATTCTAGATACAATTCTAATAAAAATTATGGTAAGCTATCTAAAACAATTTACTTGACCAGTAGCTTTTCACAAAATAGTTTATATTCATCCAAAATTTTGAGTGTGTGTGTGTGTGTGTGTGTGTGTGTACAACAAAACCAAAGGATGTTTGAAAATACCATAAGGAAACCTATTACTCTGTGTGTAATTTCAAAGCTTAGAAATCTGTCATGATTCTGCATTTATGCCAGATCAATATTTCTAAATCCTTAGATATTTAATATGAAAGTCTTACTAAATCACCATGTGAAGTAATAGTTGCTTACTTTGGAAAGACATATTTGTATTTTCAACCCCTAGTCTTTCTAGGGTGCGAGAACCTGATCTACATTACAAACAGTCTCCTAGCCACCTCAGCCATCTACCCTGGCCACTGCAGTCATCCCTGTCTCTGATGGTCCTCTAACAACTACCTATTTGCTTTGAAAACAGGTCCATGAGCTAGCTCAGATAAGTTTTATTACTGAAGCAAAATGGAATCCAATAGATAGTAAAGCTTCTTATCCAAATAAATACAAGAGATGAAACCATACTAAATAGAGGCTTCCACAGATATCTTAAATGCATTAAAACTGTATGGGAATAGATAAGTAAAACCAACTGCTCCTAAATTATCATGACTGTTAATATCTAAAATCTCACTTATGTTGATACTTTCCTTGGTATTTTGGAGTAAATTAAGGTATTAAGAAGTAAGAAATAAGACTGGAGAGATGGTTCAGAGGTTAAGAGCACTGGCTACTCTTCCAGAGGTCCTGAGTTTAATTCCCAGCAACCATCTGGTGGTTCACAACCATCTATGAGTTCTGGTGCCCTCTTCTGGAGTGCAGGCATGCATGCACACAGGCAGAACCATGTATACTTAATAAATGAATAAATGTTTAAAATTAATCTAAACTTTGACAAAGAAGGTAAGAAAGAAACAGGCAAGTCAAGCCTGTTTAGTTCTTACACACACCGGAGGAAAGGGACTCCAGTTGCTTTCTTAAGAAAGGCCCCAAAGCTTTAAAACACCTCTTACAGACTTAGGCTTCTTTCAGTGAAAGAAACCAAGTATGGGACACAGAATACTGTAACAGAAGAGACCTTGCAAGCTTAAAGCTGGAATTCAATTTTACCAGGAATTCTAGAGAAGAAAAAGAACTACGATCCCAATGTCTGGGCTGGAGAGGGGATGGCTCTGTGGCTCTGAGCAGGCTGCTGCTCTTCCAGAGGACCTATGCCACACAAAAGTTTACAACCCTGTTCTTCTGACGTCCAAGGCAAGCTAGTGGCATACAAACACAAATCACTCATAAACATAAGATATTGTGTTTAAAAAGATCCCATTTCTCACCCAAAGCAATGACAGTCAATTTAATTTCTCTTAAAATTTTTAGGATCTCTGATGTACAGTGACTTATTTAAGTAATTAGAAAAAACACATATGGATGCCAGTTTGCTCACATAATCCTTAATGAGTACTGAAGAAACAGTTTTCAGAGAACGAGAGAGAAAGAGAGAGAGAGAGAAAGAGAGAGAGAAAGAGAAAATGAAAGAGAGAAAGAGCGATATTATTCTCTCCATCTAACTTCCTATTTTTTTTTTTTTTATAGACAAGGTCTTGCTATGGAACCCAGGCTGGTTTCAAATTCAGCTTCCTGAATGCTGACATTATGGGCTACCATGGTCAATATAGGTATCAATAATTTTAAAGCAGATGATTTTAGAAAAGCTAGTCTCTAAAAATGTCCTTATACTACCCAAAAGATTTCAGAGAAGGAGCTCCACGGTCTTCCAGTGTTGAATGCCTGAGACAGGCAGGGCATCACTGGATATGTCTGTGCTACCGTGTGACTCAGTATCTGCACTGTACCCTAGACAAGGGCAGGCAGGTTGACCCAGGTTTTCTTCCAAATTCAGCAACCTCCACCCACCTCTATCCCAAAGTTGTTTCATCAAGGAAGGAGGCTATCAGACTGTTTAAAAATATGCATTGTTGAGTGTGGACCCATGAAGAGTTCATCACTGTTTTTGACTATAATTGACTATAATTTTTATTATAGTCAATGCCTTTTTCAGTTTAGTAAGGTTATAGCTTAGACTTAACATATTTGTGACTGCATTTGGATCTTCAATATGACACATTCTTTGTAAAATCAAGGAAAATAATTTAACATATTTGTGACTGCATTTGGTTCTTCAATATGACACATTCTTTGTAAAATCAAGGAAAATAATGGAGGTTAAACCCACAGTTTTCAATAAACATTTTCTGTGAATTTAGTTTCTAGTGAGATAGTAAAAGCACAGACTCAAGAGCTAGCCTGCCAGGTTTGCATCCCAAGTCCACCACCTGCTAGTCTTGTGACTAGGCAAATATTTACCCAGTATCTTGACTTCACATATAACTATGGAGACAAGAGGGGATGTTGTGAGAATTAATGATTAGAACAATGCTAGACACTCAGTGTTAATTCGAATGTTAACAGTAAGACTTAATCATTTTCATAAGAAAACGGTTCACCAAGCCCAGATCAGCTGTCCAACTACCCCTTAGAATGACAAAATGGTATGACTTGGAAATTCATGGGTTGTTAAGCCTGTGAACTATAAACCTTTGTTTTTCTACTCATCAGTTCCCTATAGATAAAAATCTAGATCATTGACCTTAATACCTGCTAAGTTATAGAAAAAAAATCCACACATAATACAGCTCTGTTGTTCTCTGTCTACCAGTCATGTTCCCCCCTCTGTGTGTGTGTGTGTGTGCATGCGTGTGTGTGTGTGTGTTCATCTGTCGGTGTATGTGTCTATCTCCGTGTCTCTCTCTGTGTACACATGCATTATAGTTTAGAGTACTAACTCAGCAGTGGGCCTACGCTGTCTTTCATTTTATCTTGACTTTCTCTCTGCTATGCACATGAACTGCTTTTTCAATAGTAACATGTTACTTAAAATGTTAGAAATAAAATATTTACACTAGGGAAAACACACAGATTCCATACCTGTATTTATGAATGATGGCATTAAATAGTTTCCCATCTCTCCAGCAGGTAGTGAAATTTTCACACCGTACTCCAGCATAACCTTCTGTTGCCTGCTGTGTCCACAGGAGCAACCTTTCTTTCGCAGACATGTCCTCTGACTCTCCAGTTACATGAATATCTGATATCTAAATATAACAGAAGCATTAAATCATTAGGAAGGAAGGAAGAAGCTGAGAGAGTAAAAATCTACTATGTCCCAAGTACTCACATCCTATTTTCTTTGATCCTTGCAACTCTTGTTTTTTATACTAAATATATTTCCCCTGTTTTCAGAGGAAAACTGAATTTCAAGCAAGCTTCTGGATTTGACATATCTGTGTCCAAGTTAAAATCATCCAATTTATTTTTAAGTGTAAAGCACACGGATTTTACAAGGATAAACAACAAAACCCTGCCACGCAGAGGGACTCAGACCACTCCAAGCTGAGGCAGTACAATGAATTGTTGTAAGAGAAACAAGTAAAACAGAATTCCCAGAAATCTTCATGTAGCAGCATGCTAACACACAAAGTGTGAAAAATACAGCTTGAGTTTTTATCCTTATATCGGAAGCAAATTATTGAACTTCTGTTTAATGCATTGCACTGGTATTTTATTTATGCTATAGCAAATAAAGCTTGCCTGAAGCTCAGAGTGCACTAGCTAGCCACAGAGGCCAGGCAGTGGTGGCACACACCTTTAATCCCAGCACTCGGGAGACATAGGCAGGCAGATCTCTCTGAGTTCAAGTTCACCCTGGGCTACATGAGGTTGATACAATCTATCTAAAAGAGAAACAGAGCTCACACACAGGTGATCCCAGCTCTTGGGGCCACATGTCTTCAATCCCAGCACTAGAGAGGTGAAAAAAGGAGTGATATGGCTGGGCAAAAAGAGGAATATAAGGTGGGCAGAGACAAGAGCTCAGGGCATTCAGTCTGAGGATTCAATCTGAGATTCAGTCTGAGGCAGTCTGAGGCAGCCTGAGGATTCATAGCGACAGGATGCCCTTTGGGTCTGAACATTGGTACAGGTAAGAACTCTAGTGGTTGGCCGCTCTGCTTCTCTGATCCTTCAGCTTTCACCTCGATAACTGACTCCAAGTTTTTATTATTATTAAGACCAATTAGAATTCATGCTACAATGCATTTCCTTTAATAAGCCTTCTCTATTTAGCAGATGCAAGACAAATACATTCATGCTGTTTTACCCTGAGAGTTAAAGTTCTCACCTCAAATCAACAACTTGCTTTTTACCCGTTCTTTTATACAGCCGTTCCCAAATATCTTTTTAGTGATTCATTGTAGTCAACATAGTATATTTTAAAAGCTTCATTTTGTTTATATGTTTATACACACACAGAGTTCAGGGTAACTATGTGGTACTGTTTACATTTATTTAGTGGCACACCACAAACAAGGTAGCAAAGGTGACACAACACGCCGTGGTGACCCTCGTGCTAACCCAACAGAAGCTGCCTTGCAGGTCTTTCTGCATGCCCTGCAGGGGTACCGGCATTAACCTGCTTTTGAGTTATATCAAAACCTAACAGCATTAAGACAATTCTACATTCTTTGCTAGTGAGATCTCTTAAAACAACTTCAGTGAATTTTTTCCAGATAAAAATAGGTCAGAAGTAAAAGTCATAAATTACTCTAAGTACAATTTGATCTAACAAATATTTCATGTCATGAATAAGGACGCGGTGCCCTCTCTCATTTTTAACTATATTCTGTAACATTTCAGGCTAACAGCCTATAAATTATTTGGAGCTCCTTGTTCAGTTTTAGTAGAACTTCCATGTGTGTTTTATTTGCACAGTTCTGAGAGCCCCTTCCCACTGAGTGACAAAAAGGACATGGATCTGCATTGTTCTCCGAGAGCCCCTTCTACTGAGTGACAGAAAAGAACACGGGGCTCCATGGTACACACTGTCCCAAGAGCAACTCTTTCATCTGGGTCCTTCTTGGCATGGTGCTAACTACTCAGGGCACAAAGTGACTTCACCAGGGGCTCCCCGGTAGATTCACAGTTGGGATTAACATCAATGTGTGACTGTTCCCTCCATCAGAGAAATGTGTGACACCAAGAGATGAAGAACAGAAAGCAAGCCAGGACCTGGAAGAGATTTGCAAATAGGAGGTGTGTGTGTGTGTGTGTGTGTGTGTGTGTGTGTGTGTGTTGTTGTCACAAACCCATCTACAACAGAAACAAAGGCCCAAATCAGAGCAATGAGATCTGCTTCTGGCTTGAGAACCAGCTTCTTCATCTATCAAATGAGGAAGTAGGGGGTTGATGACAAGGTTGAAGGCCTCTTTTCATCTAAAATGTTACTGAGACACTGGTACGGGAGAATTGTCTGTATTCTGTCAATCATGTATTTTAATAAAACGCTGATTGGCCAGGCAGGAAGTAGAGGCGGGTCAACCAGACAGGAGGTAGAGGCAGGGCAATGAGAATAGGAGAAGGCTAGGGAGGAGGAAGCTCCCTCCACCATTCCTGCCCAGACCACCGAAGAGGCAACATGTGAGCTGCCACACTGAGAAAGGTACTGAGCCGTGTGGCTAACATAGATAATGATAATGGATTAATATAAGTTACAAGGACTAATAAGAAGCCTGACCTAATGGGCCAATCAGCTTTATATCTTATAGAGATCTCTGTGTGATTGATTTTCTCTGGGACTTGCCGGTTGTGGGGTACCGGGCGGAAACAGATACCCCAACAAACCGGCCCTCATGTTACAAGACACTATAAACACAACAAGAACTCAGAGATCAAACACAGAGTCAAGCAACTGAAAGTGGAGAAAGGGACAGTGCCAAGCCCCTTCCTTATTCTTCCCAGCTACCACAGCCAGGAAGGGGCGTGGCCAATCCCCGACCTGAGGAAGAAAGGCTGCAGCACAAAAGTTCTTCCCCCGCTGGCAGATGCTACTGTGTCTGCTGCTGTAGATGAAGGTGGGGCCTCAGTCCCTCTTCACCTAGGGTTCTACAGGGCAGTCAGTGCCTGGTGGAGCTCCAAGATGAGCAAAGTCTGCCACACTGGCCTTAAAATGTCTGGAAAGTGAAAGAGAGGCACTGTCTCCATTTTAATCATCTTCCCTAGGAATTTGTGCCATCTCTACAGCATGGGAAAGAATTATGTACATGGACATACCACATAACATACAGAAGAATTATGTTTTTATTTTTCATGTGGAAAACAATTACCACTATTTTCTACTTAATTACTTCCGAGGATATTGAGACAAAATTATGTTAGATGACTTAGTGACACAGCCCACACCAATTTTCTTCTTCATGATTACATACTCAAGTCATGCCGCTGCTTAAGAATGTTCCCTCCCTTGTAACAGTATGAGAGTTATTACACTGTGTATGAGAATTCCAAGTTAGCATGGTGTGATCCTATCTTACACACAGGAAATACATGCTCAGTGTATGCTGGATATTTTATTCAGCATTAGCATGGTTTATTAATACTTGGAACACAGAAAATACACATTGAATATATTTGCGTTGTTATTCCTTTTTAAAAGGGAGAAGCAAAAACCTGCACTTCATATTTTTTCCCCCAGTTCTCAATGTATCAAGGATTGCTTCTGCTGCTTCTAGCTGATTCAAGAATATTCTGGGCCCATCTAGTCACAAGAGTAATTATCCATTAACTAGGAAAGACTGCATTTCAGCGATAAGGTGCCAGTCTAAAGGCGTGAGTGCTATTCTCCCTGAGAGGTGTCAAAGTAAGTTTAAAGGTCTGCGACAGTTACAGAAAATAATTGGTCTTGTTATTAAATAATTTCCAACAGGTGAATTCTAGACTGCCACTCACACACACTAGTCCAGACACACACATACTATGTTTAAACTCTAATTTAAAAATACACATTTAATTATGCCCTGAAGACTAACACACCAGCTTGTTTTCCACGTCTCTGGCCATTCTCAGGTAACTGTCCATCGGCTGCTGAGCCTTCCCTCTATGCTGTGTGCTCGCTTCACTTCTGATCTGCCTCCCACAGCTCCAGACTCACCAGAAATCGCAGCCCCTGAGAAACAACGCCTCTTAAGGACCGTGCGTCGCTCCTCACTTTTGAATGTCAGGTCCCCCCACTATCATAGCTGTCCTCTAGGCCTGTACGTGTGTTTCTCAAACCAATACCTATGGGTACGAAGACCTCAACTTTTCACATTATAAGACCCCCTCGTTCTACTCCTCAGAAAGGATGTACCCACAACTGTTAAGCACTTGAGTGTGTATACATGCCTGATCCTCAGCTCCACCTAATACGGAAAACTCACAGTCCTTTCTTTTCACTCAGATTCAGCATCCTTGCAAGGTATGAGCTTCAAACAAGTCACGCCCTTCTATCTCAGAGAATAACTTCTGGCAGACAGGCTCCCGTTGAGCTCCATGCCAGCCTCAGATGCTATCCATGACCACTGTGATGTACATTACAACCTTTAAAATTCAGTGCGCTTGAAACGGAAATTTTCTTTCCCCTTCATCTACCCCGTCTATATACCTACCACAGAGAAGCGCCCCATCATTTGCCCAGTCGCCCCCCCCCATCAAAAACTCTGTCAACCACGATGCATCTCCAACCCCTATACCCACGTTCACCTCCAACCCCACCCTCAGTAACTCTCACACCCGGAACAAGGAACAAGAGCTGCAACAGCTCAGCGCACTGCCACAGAGCCGTGCTCAACACTCCTGGTCCCTTCAACCACAGCACATGGGGAAATGCGGAAGGGAAGGAGGTCCTTGTGCTCACAGATAAAGCACTAGGGAACCAGGCAGTGATGTTAAACACACAGGGCTGTCCCTTCAAAGGGAGGGGTGTGTTTTCTGCCCACAGTTAAGGAGCTGCTCTTCATCCTGAACAAATGCAGTACCTAAAGTCCAAGTGAGCTCCAGTGTCACTTCCGGTGTAAACACTGCTCAGGTGGCCTTACCATGATCCTGGATGCAGCAAAACTTCCGCCATCTTCCAGAATGGAATTTCTCTGTTGATGGAAACCTGGGGGCATTGTGTTATATCTTGGTATGGGGCTTAAAACTTCTTATTCCACTGCTAACACCAGCCCATAATGTAAGGGTATGCTCTTTAACTTTTCAACTAAGTGAATTTTCTCAGAAG